GAAGGTAATAGAGTATATAGTGACGAAGTTCCGATTAAAGAACATGTAATGGTAATGAAAAAGGAAATTTTAGTCATTTTATCTGTAGTGGATGCCAAAAGCTCTTTTGATGTGGTTATACCAAGTGAAGCATGTATTTTTCTGTCTCTTTAGATTTGCATTTACTTTCACTACCCTTTTTTATTTGACGTGTTCATGAGAATAGCATGAAAACTATTAATGAACCAAGCCGCCGGTTTCGGTGAGCTTGGAAAACTTCTTCTAAACTGGAGCATATTTGAACAAACAATGACCTATGTCGTTCACAATAATGTTATGTTCTAATCCATAGAAGAGAGACAAACAATTCGGGAAAAAGCTGCGCATGCCCTAGAAAAAGGGATGATAAGGGTGAGACGCGGTAACGCGTCTCAATGTCCAACGAGGTGCGCAAAGTGAGACGCGTTACCGCGTCTCAATGTCGTCAATGTGTTAAAGGCGACTACTCTTTAACATCCACACTTTTTTTTTTACTGTGGCTTACAGGCGCGACCATAACCAAGGCAGGGACCTTCTAGTGCAGCAGCGAGTATTTAAGAGCGAGCAGCGTCGTAGGGGATGTTTTTGTGTAAGCAGTATTCAGCTCGGAATAGGGTCAGACATGCTGGAATTCGCCAATTGTCTAACAATTTAATCAGCTGTTATTTTCGAGAAGGTAAGGAGATAAAATGAAAAAGCGGAGAGAAATTTTTTCGGAAGAGATAAAGCTCACAAACCATTATAAGTTGAGCTTCACTGTCTTCGAATCCTCTCTGGACGAACACTCTGATCAGACCGTCGACACCGTATATCTGCAGTCGCCCTAAATCATTCTCAACTCTTATCTTGGTAGGAGTGAGGCAAGAGATTGACGGTCTTTTCTTATTTATCAGGAAATTTTTACAATGTTATGATATCTGCCAGCGAGGTTGTTAGGTGGAGAAACTTTTATTAGTGGCCTGACGTTTCGACGAGATCTTCTTCCTCAAAAGGCCTGAAAACGTGGCTTAAGGTTTGAGGTGTGTTCTTTAAACCACCAAACGCCTCCTCTCCTTAGCGTTTCTGACGCGAACGTTACGGGGAACAGCGGACTCGTTAAAGGCATGCCCCAGGATCGCACTGGTGTGGCTCTTGCACACGAATGTGAATGTATCGGTGCCAAGTGGGCCGGCAGTGAAGAAAAAAGGAAAAGAATCCGTCGAAAACGCTCAGGTTGAGGGCTCACTCACCTTCCTAATTGGCTGTGCTAAAGGAACGAGAGACTAAGCGCGAAGAGGAGAGTATGGGGCGAGAGAGCGCATCAGATGAGAGAGCACCAGACAACGGCCTGATAAGAGAGCTCGTTCGCTGCAGCTCGAGCAGCTTACTTTGCAAGCCCAAAGCGTTCTTGTCGGTCGAATTCCGTGCACGTGAACGCCACATTTGTGATTGTCCCCTAGGGTTCTATACTTCTGACCGAAGAGAAGAGTTCACACGACCTCTGCCTGGGTTGTGTGCCTTTTTAAAGAATTCACCATTCACCACCGCAGAGAAAATCAGGCGCCGTTGGCCGTGTCGCTTGTAGCCCCCTGCCTTTTCCGTCAGAAACGCCAGGGGGAGGAGGCGTTTGGCGGTTTAAAGGACATATCTCAAACCTTGAGCCATGTTCAGGCCTTTGAGGAAGGCGGGAATCTCGTCGAAACGTCAGGCCACTAATCAAGTTGCCCCATAGCCTCTCTTTGGATTTAGGGTGGTTGGGTGTTAGAAAAAGTTCCTGAAGCATTTGACACTTTTTTGTTTCTTTTGCTGTTTATTCGGGGAATCTACTTAAATAATTAGTCACGATCGTTATCCTACAGAGGTCCCACATATATGGGTATGTCAGCAAGCCCGTTCTCCAGATGGCAGACTTGAGAGTCAAAGAATCGTGACATCCTTCAGACTTTAACTTTGGTGAATTTTTTCTTCGCTAGGAATGCCTTGAGGGGATGAAGTAAGTGATAATCAGAGAGGGCAATGTCAGGGGAATAGGGTGGGTGGGGAACCGCGTCCCAGATCAGCTCTTCCAATTTTGCACGGGTCTCTTTAGCTATGTGGGGCCTGGCGTCATCGTGGAGTAGGTGGACAGAAGTTCGTCTCGCTCGTTTTTCTTGAACAGCGTCCGCTAGTTTCTGGAGCTGACTGGCGTAAATGCTGCCAGTAGCGGTATATCTTTACGGGAGCATCTCATAATACAACATTCCTCACGAATCGCAGAGGTAGCAAAGAAGACAGCTTTTGGGGTGAAGGTCCGATTTTGCTTGCGTCGGCGGGTCTTCTCCTCGAGGGAGCCACACGGCACTGTGCTTGTTAGAATCGTAGAGGACCCAACTCTCATCTCTCGTAATCATGCCTTCCAAAACTCCTTTCGGTGCGGAAAGAAGGAGAAACTGACAAATGGGTACCCGCCTGAACCGCGTGCTATCGGTCAAGACATGAGGGATCCATCGAGTCAGCACTTTCCTGTGGCGAGGGCGTGGAGGGGACCGAGGACTGTGGGATGGGTGCACCCGAGTCTTATCACAAGGCTGCGGGTGCTAACCTCCGGATCCTCTTCGACAGCGCCGAGAACGGTGGAGTCTTCCACTGTTTGGGGGCTTCCCAACTTTGTCTTGTCTTCGGAAGCCGTGTCTCCTCCTTCGAAGCCTGCGAACCAGAGCTTGGCACTGATGATGGAAGTGGTGTCCCTTCCCAATGCGATGCTGATAATGTTGACGGTTCCCACTGCTCCTGTGCCGCAGCGCCATTCATTGAAGATGATCGCTCGAAAGTGCTCTTGTGGAATCGACATCATGATTAAAGTTAAAGAAGGCAACCCGGCAATATATACTGCGGAGAAGTATGATCGAGCGTAATCCTCAGTGTGCGATTTTAGGTATCGTCAATAGCGGAAGTTCTGGAGCTTTAGAAATTGGCTCAGGATTTTACCATCCCAAGTATAACATTATAATTACAACAATGCCGGGGTCCTACGAAGAGAGGAGTTGGAGTCAGGAAATATTCATTTAGGTGTTTTTGAGGACTCTCACTTTTTTTTATATGTTTTTCTTACCACACAGTAAACCTGTGTAATAAAACAATACAAGGTTAGTGCACTCGTAGTGCTCAATACATTTATGGTAAGCCATGAGTAAATCGAGCACTACGGAGAATGAAGAATCGAACAAAGGATAGTTGATATGAAGGAACCATACTGCACATATTCTATGGGATGATAGAAAAGGGATAAACACGTGCTGACATTTTGATATTTTTGACTGGGATAACGACGGTTGCTGGGCCTGATCATTGAAGATTCAGGCTGTTGCATAACAACATTGCAAGCGATTTACCCTTCTGAACGGGGCTTTACCCAGAACGTTGACTCGTCGGGGACAGAAAGCTCACCCAGCTCGGACGAATTCGAGGGAAAATCCCCTATTGCATTGGACTGATCAGTCACTCTTCACGGACGTTGCGCGCTTCGTACGCTGGGTTTGTCGATTTAGTGCTTTTCTACGTATTGCTGTCAACACAACCCCCTACGCACTGTTTCTTTGTGGACTTCTTAACCGACACAGATACTGAAAGATCGATCCCGGGCAAGTGATGGAAGATCTTTGCTTGGCTTTTGAATGAATTCGATCCTGGTCAGATAAAGTTTTTGCCTGACATATATTCTCGCTAAACTGCAATGATGGCTTTATGGGAAACCCTGACGTGAAATTTATCCTCATTTTCTGACTCGTTGATTATCACTTGAGACCAATGGGACAGCATTTGTCCGTTCATTTAATGAGTGGCGCAGCAAGCAAACAGAGGGAGTGACAGGCTCTTGAAAGTCCACAGGCCTCACGCGTAGTCCTCGAATAGATTCGCTCACAATGGACGAACTCCAAATTTACCAAGCCAATAGATCGTGGATGAAATCATGGAGCTGAGTTGCCGTAGTAATGTTCTCATCTTATTTATATCAGGCTGCAATGAAGGGGGCAACCAATTCTTAGTCGTCCATTTGATTTCAGTACCGCTGTGGTTAGTGAGGGAGCAAAACGACCATTATCGACCCTAGCATGCTTCTGACTGACTGGATCTACGCGGAAGCCGATTGTATCGCTTAGCGCAAAAGCACGCCGCGCTTCTCTGCCAGAGATTCGGGGCTCACTATCAGACGAATTAAGCGCCAAATCACTATGGCTAGAAGTGCTGGGTACGCAAGTGCAAAGGTAGCGCCACCTTTCTACATCGAAACGCGTCACTAGGACCCTAGGCGCCATGGACTTCTAACAGACTCCACCAAACTTAACATGGTCCGCCCACCGTTCGATATCTTGTCTGCGTCGCCACGTTGATGTGCTATGCTCTCTCTTCTCGGAATTCTCTACCTCTCCGCGCTCACATTATCTCTCATCTCCTGCCTGTCTTTTGAACTTCTCCACAGCATGAGCAAAATGCTCGTATTTCCTGTGTATTTCAGGATTTTCTTTCCTTTTTTCTCCACTGGCGGTCCACCTCCCATCCCTACTTTCACATTTGAGTGGAATCAACCCATCAATTAATCCTGATTCTTGCCTTTAAGGGAGTAAGAGAACTTTTAGAGCTAAGATCCTATCTTAGGTGCCATACAAAGCCGGTCTATTTCACCCATTCTCGATAACTGATACAGGGTAAGGAAAGGACAATTGATGCATGCAACTTGAAAAAAGACTTATGTATTCAATCCGCTCCCAACTACCGCTACGGCCAGGCGATGACTGGAAGGTAGCATGACTGCGACAACATGACTCTGAGGTTGGACAAAGAAAATGAAATTGATGAACTTGCCAGCCGTTGCTTCCCAGTGGTAGTCAGCAGCATCGAATCTGGCATTCGTTAACAGTTCCCACCCACCCATGTGCGAAATAAGCGATAACATCGGGAGAGTTCCCTGGAATTCCATAGCTTTCAAATTTTCACACTAACTGTCGCAAAACCTTCTAACCAATTCAGCCTGGAGCTTCCTCGTCCATGCAGGAGTTGTAGTAGGTCCGAGACAAGGTCATAGCCTCTGACTCTTCTCCAGAAGAACTGTCTTCAAGTATGTCTGAAAATGGCGTCTTTGAAAAATAGCTCGAATGTGATGTATCAGTGAAAAACAAACCTTTCAAGTGAAGTTTGTGCTCTTTTTCCATCTCGAAGAGCACGTTGATTTTCTTTTCGTGTTCAGGCACTACTCGATTGGTGGCGAATGAACCACAAGCAAATGAATAGAAATCTTTGCAAGGATCCATTTTAGGTTTCATGTTGTTTAGATAGTTAGCCGCTGGAATACGGTCGTTGCAGGCATAAATAATAATATCAAATAATCACATAATATAATATAATAATCATAAATGATAATCATAAAATAATAATAATGAACAAAATAATGATAATAACTTATAAATAATAGCAGCAAAATAATAATCATGAAAAAACAGCATTAGAAAAGTTACCTAATCTGATGCATTTCTGTGATAGGCATAACGACTGATTTTGAGATGAGCCCGCCGAACAATTCTTGGGAATTGTTGGGCAACGTCTGCTAGAGGAGTTACCTGAAAAGGCAGCGTTCGAATGGCTTTTTGTGGGAAAAGTCATTAACCCCAAATCCTTCAAGTATCTCTTATTCGTAAGATACTACCCTTCGATCTTGGCGGCAATGCTGCCATAAAAGATCTTGTCCCGTTATGGTGTGGGCCAAGCGCTAGCATTCCTTTGATCACGTGAAAGGTGCTAAGGCCACACAATACTTCTGGCGCTGCACGTATGAGGTCAATGGATAAAGCATGCGAGCTGAGTGGGATAGCCACTTTTCATTTTCAGTGTGAACCTGTTGAGTACATTGATCGCTCTATGGTTACTGAACACATAACGATTTATATAGCGGAGTCCTGCCTTCAATCCTCTCAATAAAGATGATGATGTCGCTGCGCTATTTCATTGTTACCCAGTGTTCACAGCCTCCTACCTGCTTCACCGCTTAATTCATCGTTAAAGCATATTCAGGATGGACGCTGGTCTGTGCCATGATATGAGTAATCGGTGGGAAATGGGCTGGCAGTGAAGCAAGGAGGAAAAGATTCTGTCGAAAACGCTCAGGATAAGGGTTTGACTCTCCGCAATGCGACCTAGACTGAGGCAAGAGAGCGCAACAGGTGGAGAGGAGGCGAGACTGCGGCCTGCTGCGACAGGCGAAAATTGAAGCTGTTGAAGCTGTCTTTGTAATGTCGTAGAGCGCTTGTCAGGCGATCATCACGAAGGGCAATGTAGCACTCGTAATTGTCTTTTGGGGTTCTCTTACGTACGGAAGGGAAGCGTTCGTAAACCTTCTGCCTGGGTTGTGCCTCAATGTGAAATTTAAGAACTTGTTACGCGAATCCCGCCTTGTTTTTGCGTTCCCTCTCGATGGTGTTGGGTTGCAAACAAATTTGAGCCTGGTAGTACACAAAAAATACGGCTGTGACCGTGAATTCATTTGTATACAAACCAGTTGTTGAACCTGAACGACATCGCCGGCGTTTTGGTGTTTTTTGCAGCGGTGGGGACAGGACATTGTGCTTTCCTTTTGATTATCTATCGCTCGGACTTCATAGGAGCTATAGCAAAGTAAGGTGATGAATGAATCGGCGGGCCAGAGGATCTTTCGTGTGAGTGTCACTGGCCAAGCTCTGTCCGAGCTAGGGCTAATTTAGACTTGGTGTTTCGGTTATTCCGTAGTACGCCATTGTGGTTTCTTGCTTATGGTTATAGTAGAGTGACCTGTTGTATAATGCGTTACATAGGAAAACTATTATGGGGAGAATCGAAATGTGTCGGGCTAATAAATGTGCTCTGGCGGGTTGGATTTGGATCAATAATTAGTGCCTCATGTCGTCAAGGTGGCTTTGAAAGCTTGCTTCGGAACTGCGCCGATGTAATAGGTTGCGGAGGTGTGCGGTAATTATTTTAACAACAGATTTTACTCACGTAGTGTTATCTTATAGGCTCTGAATGCTTTTTTTTGTCGTTTTGTTATCATGTAAGCGTTAGCGATAAGAATGATTTCCATCAGAGGATTTGTTGTGTTTAGCGATTGTATGGGAATTTGGTGCCCTGTGGGAGGATGAGTTTGGAGAAGTAACATAAGTTCTTGAGGTGTTTTTATGAGATGCCGCATCCATGGGAATTTAGTGGTCTATATGTTGTGATCCCAAGCGTTGGCATTTTGTGGTCTCTAAACAGTGAGTACTGTTGCGCTTAGTGACTCATGATGGCTCTTTTGCTACTCGCAGGCGATAGTTCAGAGTACGCAATTTGAGTCTCCGCAGTGGAGATCCGTGAGATCTACTTTCGAGTCAGCATGACGTCCAGAAAAAGAAAGATGTGCCATATTCCGTGGTGTTTAGGATTAACGGGGTGACTCGGTCAGCTTATGGAAATTGTTGTTGTGTTTTTATTTCTGGAAGCTGCGATTTTGCGTAGCGGGGCCATGTGTGTTGTCTTCTTATTGTTGGTTGGGACTTGATCCAGTTTCCGTTGAGCGGATGCCGGCAGATTCGCGCTGTTTATTTGATTCGCAGAGGGGCAGCGGCCGAGTTTTCTCATTGGCTCGCTAATTAAGGGTGTTTGGCTATGTGGTGTAGAGAGTGCTCGGAGATCGAGAGGTTTTCTTTATTGAGGAAGGGTCAACGTGTTTCTATAATCTTTGTTTGACACTTTGAAGAAAGAAACGCCTGCGTCTTTCAAATGTTCAGATCGTGACAGTGAAGGGTCAGGAGATAATGGACGTCAAGAGTATAGTGGTTAAAGATTGTAGAAGCAAAGATTCTGAGATCTCTACGAAGAAGGGAGTGCATAGTTACTTTTGTATCAGTGGATACGAAAGTGGTGGGGTCGAGTACTTAGGGCGTTTCTCTGTATGCTTTACCGTGCTCTCCCCTTAATATTTGTAGCGCTTGTATTTCATAGGCGTCTTCGGGTCG